CCTACTTTTACTTTTATTTCAAAAATTTTCGATATCCATAAAATTTTTCTCTTTAACTTCAATGAACCCATATTCTACTATTGCATCTAATAAATAACACATTTTCTTACAAGAATAAAAACTTGTGTTTTAGAAGGTATAAGTAAAAATATGTAGATAGTACCTTCATTCACTGAACAGGGTGTTTCGATTAAGGTAACAAATAATTTCAGGGATGATTCTTTGATCATTTCCAGCAAAAAATTGTAAGGGGATGTGCAGATATACTAATTTTCGAGGCTGTTGGAAAAAAAAGGTACCGGACTTTTCCTGCATATAAATAAATGCTTATAACTTCGGAGCCACACAAAGTAGAGCTATTATTAGAAGTTGGTTTTAAAGGCGATTGGTTGCTATTTATTCAATAAATTTGATTTGAGCAACAGTTTTCGAGATACAGCTCGTCAAAGTCAGAATTTTTGGTTTTTTTTTTTACAAAACTCGAAATTTCTTGAAAATTTTTGTTATTGTTGTTTTTTTGTTTTTCTCGATACGCTACGATAAGATCTTAAAGTTAACCCATATAACACTTTCCCCTATCTCTCATAGTTTTTCCAGTAAAACGTGTTAAATGTATTCAAAAACACGCGAAAAATGCATACATTTTTAAATAATACATTTCATACAAATTCCAAATTATACATACTAAACTAAAAAAATATTTGTGAATGTTGTTTGTATGAAAAATGGGGGGAGATTTAATCGTTTTCGAGTTACAACCAGTTGAAAAAATCGGTCTAAAATTTTCCCTTCCTGTTTTACATTTTTGATCATTATGAAGAAAATATTCCACAGATTTACTTGAAATTCATATACATTCATATTTCATATATAAGCTTCGCTCGATCGTCCGCGAAACCTCCTAACTTTTGGAAGAAATCAGGCGTCACATTTACTACGGGCCAAATATACATTTTTGCGTATATAAAGAGAAATAATCGATTTCAGTGAAATTTATAATATTTAAATTATTCGTATTAAAACAATGAACATATAATTTTTTTGGAAAGATCGGGGCTCGGAAACTGATCTGAGGCCCGATTTTACATTTTTTACCATAGTTACGAAACGGATTAATGGAATTTCTTGAAATTTGATATTTGAGTTCCGGTTGTTACCGAAACTAACTGCCGAGCGTTTCAGGTAATTTGGATAGCACATAGCGAAACTCTACTAAGAGTCAAATTTACATTTGTCTAGGTATGTTAACTAAAAACTTACTAATGCCCTAAAAATTGGAAAGAAGTATTTAACAATTATTTTTGTAATATTCTGTAACATTTTTACTTAACTAGACAATACACATTGCGGTCAGTTTTGTACTGACCACTCCAGATTTTTTTGTTGATTTTCTATGTACAGTTACTCACAAAATTGAGCATACACCTACTTTTTTAGCACATAAGTTGAAATAATATATACATGCTTATATATTTTTTTAATTTTTTTTTTTATTTTGAAAATATGTTTATTTTTCTACATAATTCATAAAATATTAAATAAAAAACAATAATTTTTCAATAAATATTGAACAAAAAACAAAAACATAGCTCATTTTTAACACACAAAATTGAGCATACAACAAAAGTAAACAATAACAAGTAAAAACGTTTCAGTCGGATGTGAAATCATTCTATAGAAACTTCACGGACATGTCTGACCTATAATTGGACACCCGACTGCCAAGTTTTATGAATCTGACTTTATAATTTTTCCAAATATTTAAAATTAGCTTTTGGAGTTGTATGGCAAGTACCTGAACCTGTCAAGGAATTCCATCAAAACTTCACAAATATATCTGATATATAATCGGACACACAACTGCCAAGTTTCATGAATCTGACTTTATTATTTTTCCAAATATTTAAAATTAGCTTCTGGAGTTGTATGGCAGGTACCCGAACCTGTCAAGCAATTCCTACAAAACTTCAGAAATATATTTGACCTATAATTGGACACATGACTGTCAAGTTTCATGAATCTGACTTTATTATTTTGCCGAATATAAAAAATTTGCTGTTGGAGTTGTATGGCAGCCACCCGAACCGGTGCAGCTATCCCATTATAATTTTTAGAGCATATGTAGAATATAATTGGACACATGTATACAAAATTTTATATTTATAGCTTTATTAGTTTTTGAAATATTTAAAATAAACTCTTGGAGTTGTATGGCAGCTACCCGAACCCGTTGTCCGACTTAGTCCAATAACAATAGGGTTCGTCCTTGGCACAAAAGAAAAAATTTGTGAAAGTTTGGTGTTGATTGCATTATTCGTTTTTGAGTTATCGTGCGATCGGACGGACGGACGGACGGACGGACAGACGGACATGTCTAAATCGAAGCAGAATTTTACGCTGAGCAAGAATATATATATATGTCCATACCGCAGATGACTCCTTCAAGTAGTTACAAACTCCATACCAAAGTTAATATACCCTTCACGAAGTGCAGGGTATAAAAAAGGGACACAAAAGCTTGAAATTTTTAAATTAATATTTAGTAAGGCACCCTTAGGCTTCTATAACTGCTTTTAATCGTCTTGGCATTAATTCAACCAACTTTTTAGTGACAGATGGAGGAATATTTGTCCAAATCTCGGTTATTTTCAGTTTTAATTCATTTTTATTCGAGGGGTTGCAACTTTGGACGTGGCTTTTGAGGTGATGGAACAAGTTCTCAATGGAGTTGAGATCTGGTGACTGCGGTGGAGTTCTTAATTGCTTTGGCACATTATATACTAACCATTCCCGTACTATATGCGAAGTGTGCTTCGGGTAGTTATCTTGTTGGAAGTGGTAATTAGAAAACAGTTTCAATTTTTTTGCTGATTCTTGTAATTTTTTTTTCAAAATATCAAGATATTTAAATTTATCCATCGTAATTTCTATATACTCAAAATTTCCAGCTCCAATTCAAGCCATAGGGGCCCATAACATAACACAACCACCTCCACGTTTAACAGTGGGATTCATATATTTTTTTTTAAATTCTGTATTTGGTTCTCTCCAAACTATTCGCTTTCTATCAGAACCAAATATGTTAATTTTGGTTTCATCTGTAAAAATAACATCCTCCCAGAAAGTTTGTGGTCGGTTTACATAAGTTTTAGCGAATTCTAAGCGCTTTTTCATTTTTACCAATGATATATGAGGTTTTTTACAACAAACTCTACTATTTAAGTTATTTTTACGTAAAACACGGCGAACAGTTTCTGTAGATATTGACTTATTTATTCTTTTAGAAACTTTGAATGTCAATTTTGGTACACTTGCTTTAGGATTTCGTTTGATTTTCCTAACAACATACCGTTCATCTTGTGCAGATAAATTTTTTTCTCTCCCTCTACCTACCTTATTTGTTAATTTTCCTTAATATCTCCACTTGTTAATAATTTTTTGCACTGTAGCATGACTCCGCCCAATTATTTCTCCAATTTCACGCATTGATTTTTTTTTTCGAGTACAAGGAAATAACTAGTTTTCGAGTAGAAATATCAGTCTGTCGTCTTTTTCCTTCCATTTTGCAAGCAAACGTAAAATAGATTAATATATTCCACTTTTTGTGTTGAATTCAAGTACAACAATGTTACATAAACTATCTTCTTCTAAAAACTCAAAAAAAAAAAAATTTTATTTGGGAAGTTTCCGTTTTAAATTTCAAGTTTAATTCGTGTATGCTCAATTTTGTGTGTCATAAAACTGTACTTTTTTTTTGTTTTTGTGGTTCCGGGGGATAGTACAGTCTTTTTTTCTTATTTTTTTATGGTCTTCCATTACTAAAAAACTAAATTTTCAAAATATAAAAATATTTAATTTTTATGTAGTAAAAAATCGTTTAATATTTAACGAAATATAATTTAAATAGGGGTGTATGCTCAATTTTGTGAGTAACTGTATGTCGTGTAACTTTTTATAAAACCGAGTTTTGTTTTTTTAGTCTTTTGTAACATTCCAAACTTTCTTTGAAATGTATGCTTATATACAATGATTTTGTTTAGAATTGCAGCTGAATTGAATTGTGAAACATGTTTTTTTTAATATATTTTTAAAAATTTTGATTTATTTTTCAATAATTTAAATTTTCAACCATCAACTTAGTATGCGACAAAAATATACATACATATGATTTTCTTTTTTATTAAAGACAGCAATTTTGATTGGTTATTAAATTCGTTTTAATTACCAAACCATTCGATGTTATTAAAAATGTATTAGATAAGAAAGCTATATAACTATAATAAATGCATATAAATGAACATCGCTTATTCAGTTGGACCGTGAAACTGAACCACAATATGATTTACGAATTTTTAATTTGTTATCCAAAATGTTCTGTAAAAAAATGTAAACAGAAAAATTATAAAATTTTTTAATTTAATGTCAGCCACTGGTTGATTGTGGCTTTCTTTTGTATTTACATATGTACAAAAATTTTTACATTTATTATGTGCAAATGTAAATGCATACATATACATATAATGTATATGTATATAATATTAAATTGTGCTCTTTTATTGATTAAAAGTAAAATAGTTTATTTTTTTCTTACTAGGAAGAAAAATTGTGACGAATGTTTTATGCAGTCAATACAAAATTTAGAAATAATAAAATAACGCGGAATATAGAAAATAAATGAAGTAAAATAAAAGCTGAGCGAAAATTGGGAAAAAATTATAATATACTCAATTTTATTACATCTACTGCAAGCATAAATATTTTAAAAATAGAATAATATAAAAATATAATAGAAAATAATAAAAATATAATATGTATACATATATTAAAAGAAAATTTACTTCGGGTTATTTTGCACGAAAATTAACGAAAATTTTAAAATAAACACCATGCTTCTATTTGTTCTTTTAGGTAAATATGCTTGATGCTTATTCACCTTTTAGAAAAACTTTTTTTTATTATTTTTATTTTTTGTTGTCGTTATTACATTTTTAAAAAATTTGAATGAATGTAAACTTTTTTTTTTATATATTTCGATTTTGTATCTATCAGGTTGGTGATCAGTCGAGTCCGAACTTATCCGCGAGTTAGTTAAGTTTAGCCACCGATTAAATAATTCACACAAAATGGTAAGTAGGGAGATTTTTTTTTAATTTTTCATTAAAATAAGTATTTGAAAAGGAATATGTTTTATACATATTACTTGCATGAGGGATATTAATACAAAATTGGAAAACAAAATTTCTTTACATATAAATTTTGAATTTAAATTTTTTTCGATTAAACAAAAAATTTAAAAATCTAAATTTTTAATTTTGAATTTCAGGCCGCAGACATACCAAGACGTGAACTTGAAAGTAAGTTTTTTCAATTCTTTTAAAAATCATTTGCATTTGAACAAGTACTCCTCATTTTATTATCTGGATTTGTTTTTTTTTAAATACTGCAAAAAAGCAGCTTACAATATAATAAATGGATTCAATTTTATAACATGTGCTATTATTATTTCAGGATAAGATTTTTTTGAATTAGATTAAATATCACTAAAAACAATTAATTGATTTGAAAAATAAAAATAACTGTGAAAATATCAATTGTTAAAGTTAAATTTAAAAATAAATTAAAATGAAAGTTAACCTGTGCAGAAAATATAAACGAAATTCTTTTAACTATTTTGAATCTAAACTTAAAAAAAGACTCAGATTTTTTTTAATTCGATTATTAAGATTTAAGTGTTATATAACGAAAACAATGGACTGTTCTATAAGTTATTTTTATACAAAGAATTTTAAAAATTCTTTTAAATTTATTTTGAAATGAAATAAACAATTAGTTTACACAAGTTGAAAAACGATGAAGAAAAGATTTATTTTTAGAAATTCAAAAATAATTAAAATATATATCATAGAAAGGGATAGATATATCATATCTAGTATGAAACAGTTTCTTATTTTGGTATGTGAAAATGGCTACGAACAAAAAAAATCAACGTGTTCCAATTTCAAATAAATTTCATAGCATTTAAAAAAAACGTACATACATGTGTATGTATGTAGTTAAAATTAAAGAAAAGATAATGTTTTCATTTTCATACACACATATTATTTCTTTTCAGTTTTTACGATAATTATTATGAAAATATTTTCTTTATTGCGTAAATCTTTGAAAAATTTACTTTTTGTACAGACATATGTACATATCATTTAAATATATGCATATACTGTAACAAAAATACATTACACATATTTGAGTACACAAACTCTCAGTTATACTTTTGAATAATGCCCATTGATTATGTACTATAAAAAAAACATCTATCTCTTTCATTTAAGTAAAGTCAGAACATATCGAATTTCTTGCCTTTCAAATATTGTGCGAAAATATTTAAAAGTACTCTATTCCTAAATAGTTTTTCATGGTATATGTAAAAGTAAAATAAAAATATGATACTTAAAAAAAGAAAAACGACAGACTTTACTCAATAGGTTAATTTTAATGTTAATTTACATAATGCAAAAATGAGAAAGAAACAGAAGGAAATATTTTAAAGCTCTCATTTATACTAAAAGAATTAAACGATTATGTATGAATCATTTTACAATTATGCATTAGAAAGTTAAAAAAATTTATTTTATATTTCATAGTTATTTTTAATCAATATATATATTTTTATTTTATAAATTAATATTAGTTTTAAGAAATAAGGTAAAATTTTAAACAACTAAAAACAACAAAATTTAACAAAAAAAATTAAACACAACTAAAATTAAATGCTATTAATTATTAAATGTTATATTTTCTTTAAATTAAACTTTTTAAACTTACTTAAAAATATATTAAGAATTATAAGTAGTATTTACAGTATGCCATTTAATTTCATAATTCTTAAAAATGCTTAGATAATTCTTTTAAAAACTTTAATCATATTTAGGAATCTTTTGTTAGCACAACAAGCATATTCCACGGATGTCATTCAAATGTCGGGGTGTATTTAAGAGAATGAAATAGTATAGTTACGTAAAGTTTTATTATTTTTTCTTTTCAAGTATTTAACCGTTTTAATCAAAAGCGATATATTATTGGATATTGCATGCAATATGGGATACTAAGCGTAATACTGCGAAATTCTAAAAGATATTAAAATATTTTAAAATAAAACAAAAAACGCTGGATATTATGCAATTTAATTGCCGTTCTTTTGTGATAAAAAAGAAAAAAAGAAAAAAAATAGTTAAAAAGTGGAGATCAGTTCTTATTTTCGGAATCTATTTTTAAAAATATTTTAATATCTTAAAATATTAGAATTTTATTTTTAGCAACTTAATGAAAAGCATGCGGAATATTGATGACAGTGCGACATACATAAATTCATACATATGTATAAGAAAAGTCTCTTTTGTTTTTTTATGTAAAAAAAAACAAAAAATGCGTTTATTGCGCGATTTAAAGATTAATGAATTTGACATTGCCGTACAGCAATTAATGTTGAGTGTTCTCAAGCTAATTCTTCTTACTTTGTATGTAGCACGTACACATGTATATATATAAATAAATATATATACATAGAAGTTTATAAATGACAGTATTGTTTATGATAAAAATCTTTCGAACCTTGGAAATATAAAAAATATCCGCAATTCTACATTTTTGTTTTGAAAACTAAAAGTAATTTTTGATTTACGCAGTTATACCTAATACGTACTTACATATATACAATTAAAAATATAAGCTTGACATATGAGTCGGCATACACATATGTATCTATGTATTAGAAGTTAAAATTAAGTGAACAAATCAATTTTATTGCCTTTTTTTCTGTTCTACTTTTGCATGCAATTCTAATTTATGTATTTTACTATAGCAAAAAATATCATTTGATATTGGGCCATAAATGACTCTTTTCTTTATTGATTAGCTAGGAAACTAATTTTTTATACTAAATTAAAATTAATAGGATTTAAAAATAAGAATCATATGACTTTGATTGAACTTTTTTGATTGAACTCTTAATATGTGGAAAAGTTAATGACTCAAATAAAATTTTATATTTTTCGCATTCCTTTCTTTTGGCAAGCTTAACACATTTTTTCTTTTTATGCAATTAAGTGTAGTAGGGATGACATGCTTATTTAATATTATCGCACGGATCGAGAAATTTTCGAATTGAAATTAGTATACGACAATAATGCGATGAAATAAGACGAATATAAAAATAGAAGTAAAACACCTTTAAGGTGAAGTTTCGAATATTTAAAAATAGATTTTTTTCCTTCATATTTTTTTTTTACTTTTTCGTTGGTGTACGTGTGAATAATCTCTTGTTCCTTTTTTATAATTTTCACTTCTTTTTTTTCATTAATCAATTAATATGACTTTAACATAAAATAAAAATAAAAAGTTTGTGAGTATGTGACAAAAGTGTGTAGAAAGCTAAAGTTGTTCAGTGAAATTTATTGCAACAAGATAACCAAAATTATTATATAAAATAAGTCGGATTGCAGAATTTCATGAGTTCATATGAAAATGCTTTTAAAGGCAGATACATAAGAACATAAGTTTTTCTATTTTAATTTTTTTTTATTTTTTGCTATTTAAAAATAATGCATTCGAATGCTTGGTCCATTTTTAATTTTTTTATTTTTTGAATAACAAGAGTGAATTTTTTAAATCATTAAGAAATACAGAAATAATGCAAGCTTTGAATAGCAAGTGCTTTTTGTTTTATTTTGCAAGATATATCGCAATTACTTTATAACGTAAGTTTCTTTAAGTAGAGAAAAAAAAATAATAATATTATTATGGTAATAAAAAATAAAAAAGTGGTTAAATTTTTCTCCCTACAAATTAAAAAATTAATGCCAATACAAACACAACAAAAACATTAAAAAGGTATCGATCAAGTACTTGATATATACATTAACATCGGTGAAAAGGGCCTCGATGCCAATGATCTTGGTGATGCATTGCGTGCTCTCAACTTAAATCCAACTTTAGCTTTTATTGAAAAATTGGGTGGTACGAAAAAGAGGAATGAAAAGAAAATCACAAAAGATGAATTCCTTCAAATTTATGCCACAGTCAGAAAAGAAAAAGAACAAGGTTGCTATGAAGATTTCCTTGAATGTTTAAAATTGTACGATAAAGAAGAAAATGGTACCATGCTTCTTGCTGAATTGAATCACATTCTTATGTCCCTAGGTTGGTATACTTTAATATTAAAAATTTAAAATTCACTTAAAAGTACTTTGGAAAGTAGAAATTATTTAAAAAAAACGTATGAAATTTTATAGGTGAAACTTTAGATCAAGAACAAGTTGATGAACTCTTCAAAGATTGCATGGATCCAGAAGATGAAGAAGGTTTTATCCCATATGCCCGTAAGTTTTTTTTGTTTTAATAATATATTTTTTATTATTGTAAAAAAATCTATCTGTATCATTTGTTGCTAAAATATGTCTTTCAAATGAAAAACAATTAAACCAAAGATCTTCTTACAAAAAGAAATTCATTAATCGAATAAAATTCAAATACAAATCATTATGTTAAAGTAAAAAAAAAACAATTTAACTTGCAAAACAGTTCAAAAACATAATATTCGTTTAATGATGCAAAATCATAATAAACGTTTCAGTTTTAATTAAGGAATATGCACAATGTAATTGAAAATACAAAAAAAAAGTTTTAGACAAAGATACAATATAGAAAAACTTCAACATTTGCACTTGAAATTTTTCAATAGCAATTCAATATTAAAAAAATTGAATTACAAGAGGGCCTTAGAACACAATTTTAAAATTGATCGGCCTCCACAGCATGTTTTTTCATCTTGTACATACATACTTAATGTGAAATATATTACAAAAAAAATTTAAGTTAATTTTGACTAGAACTAAATAGACTGAAATTAATTTCAGAATAAATGCAATTTGATAATACAAGAAAAATTACATAAAATAAATGAGTTATTTGTAAATTCATTATTATTCAAAAAACGTATGGCACAATTTGAGCACACTTATTCTGATGTGCATTTGGGTATCATTGAATTTATTAATTGATTTTCTATGAATAATATATAGTCTTACATTTTGAATTTATATATATATATATATATATATATATAGTGTATATTATTATATGCACATATATGGATGTATAATATATAGTATATTGTATATGTATATGTATATATATTTTATTTGCTGAGTTTTAAATTTTCAAGCATGATATAAACATTTTAAAGGACATTATGAATGTATAATAATAAATGATAAAACATTTTGCATATTTGTGTCAGGAAAGGCAAACACAACATATGATTTGAAAAATTTTTTTGAGAATAATAAAAAGTTTTTCGTGCAATGTAAAATAAACTCACTTGCAAATACATATATACATATACATATATAAACAAGCTATAAAAAACATATATTTACATATATATATTTCTAATATTTTATCATTTTGTTTTTTTTTTTTGCATATTTTTTTAATCTATGGTATTTGTTTTGACTATATACCATCATTATCAACACAAATTTTTACATAAATGTAACTTTAAAATTTAAAATAAAAACACATACACATACGTACAAAAACAATATACACAAATATTTCTTTTGTTATTTGATTGAAAATATTTTTATTTGGATAAAAAAAAAACACATTAAAATTTAAAATTTTATCCGAATATAATACGAATATGAAAAAAAAACATAATAGAATTCCTTCAAAGAATGATGACCTCACCAATCAAATGGTAACTTAATTAATATGTAAGTATACTTGTTGACGAAAAAGAAAGAAATATATAAACAATCGTATATCGTCTTAAATCTTTTAAATATTATTAACTTATTATGTATTCGTACAATTTATCATATAACAAACCTATTTAAAATTTGCGTTAGATTTTATAATTTATGTGCATAAATTATATATTAAAAAAAAGCTTATACTACTCTTTTTATTTTCACATTGCTTTTATAAATTTCCTATAATATATTTTAAAAATTTTAATCAGTGAAAGTAATAAGGTATACATACTTAATCAATATTAATTAGAAAAGGACTAAAAAAAATGTAACATAAAATATTTCGAATATATTATTTATGGATATATAAACGGCAAATACATATAAAATATTTGGACGTTTCAATTATAAAATCTAAAAATATTTTCTGTTACTAGTATACTAGCGAAACAGTTTTAAAATGTTTCAAATTATGAGTTCATTATAACATGTAAATTTTATATACATGCATATATATATGTACTATTATTTATTACAATTTTTAAAGCATGCACATGTATTTATCTACACTCAGAATATAAACGTTGATAAAATTTTCATACATCTAGAATCAAAATATGAATATTGTCGATTCAATTGTTTTTATTATAGATTTAAATACGAACCTGTACTTTTCAAATGAAATACATACTCTTAATTCAAATATGAAATCGTTAGTAAATCAAAAGCTGTCGCACTTGATTTCAACAATTTAAAATTTTTGACTTACTTTTGATATTTCGTTAAAACGTTGTCGCTTAATTTATTGTACAGATAATAATTTTAAAATATATTACTATGTATAACAGTTTTTTGTAAATGTAACGTTTCCCTATCAACTTGGAATAAAAACTTTGTCATACTTTATAATATGTATATAATTGACCATAAAAATGATTTGTAGTATCAACTATAAAAAATTTTTATGGTCAATAAAAAGATGGCTATTAATCAAAAGACCTAGGTTCAATGCTATTGAATGCAATAATTGTCAAAAATCAAGAACTCAGTCGCATTAGAAACAAGAAAGCGATTTATTGGGTACAAAATGACAAATAAAAGAATTTAGTTTTGAGAATTTTATAGCTAAAATAACTATTTGTTTTGCTGGGTATAGAAGTAAATTTTATAAATTTACCAATCAATTATTTATATGTATAAATTAACTACTTTATATTATGACAATAATACTATACCTATACCTAATTAATATATTACACATTAGCTACATTCTTTAAAAATAAACAATTTACCTATATATGTACATGTATGTGCACATATTTATATGTGTAATATATGCACTCAAAATTATATTTATAATCAATATACAAATTCAATAATTTATTTATTTTCGTTTTAAAACTAACACTTTTGTTTTTGTTGCTGTGTATTTAAGCGTGTTTTACTTTTTTTTTAATTTATATTTTATGTTTTTATTTATTTCTATGTTTTTTTTTAAGAATTTAACTTTCTAAATTTGTAGTATAAAATTCTTTGCAATTTTATGTATTATCCATACATTGAAGATTAATTTATTGGTTTTAATAGTAAAAAATAAAATTTATTCGTAAATTAATTATTTTAATATAAATAATATAGAAAAAGAACGCCAATTTACATAAATACATAAAACATATTTACACATATATATAATATTAAGTTGTTATAATGTATTAATTGAAGTATAAAATTCAGTACATACCATACTAGGAGCCATTTATGAATCTAAATAAAAATTTATAACGTACTCGTATAGTTTGCAAAGCTTTTACTTTATCATAGAAACATTCTTTGAATTTGTTTAAATTTAACGAATGTAAAAAAATTTTTATTGATTTATAATAAAATTGTAATTAAAATTTTACTTATGAATATTTTCTTCTGCAAACATGAAAAAAATGAACTAACATATTTTTTGAATCAGATGAATCAAGGTAAAATGAAATTTTCACGTAATAAAGAAGAAAATGAATTCAACCAGAATCAACATGTATGCTTCAATGAGAAATATTATATTTGTTTCTTATATTATAATTTTTGTATCAATATTAATTTGGACAATTTACGAGTACTTTCTAGGAAAGACTGCGTTTGAACAAGTGTTTAATAAATTATATAATCCTTTATTATAAATAAGTCTAAATAAGGGCTTTTTAAACCAATTACAATTATGAGCACTGAAGGGACGTTTAATTAACTAAATAATTGTGTATTTTATACTCTGGCAATATTATAAAATTTTCAAAGACATTTTCACAAAAAATTTTCATTGTATACGTATCTAACGAAAAAATGTGTCTGATTTCACAGTTTTTGGTATTTTTTTTTCTTAAACAACTACATAGTAGTTGTTTTAATAATTTTATATTTAAAAAGATGCGCTCATCTATATTATTTAATTAATATAATTTTATTAATTTTGAATTTTTTTAAGTTAATGTACGAAAACTAAAGTTTTTTATACTTTGTTAATTTTAGCTTTCTTGCAAAAGATGACCGGTGCAACACCAATCGTTCATGAAGAAGAGGAACCAGAACCGGCACCTGAATCTTAAAAATACTATCAAAATAAAAAAAAAATTGTTTTTTAATTTCATCGACAAAAAAATTTTTACATAATTTATATATTTTTAATATAATATAAATAAAATTAAATAATAATTTTTAGAAAATATATATATATATATATATATATATATTAATACATCCAAATATATATGTAGATATATATACAATTAAAACAAAAAAGAATTTATTAATTAAAAATTGCAATCCAGATATACAATTGAAAAAAATATCCGAAAAAAACATATAAATATAAAATAAATTTTCAATTTATTTCGTGCTCTTATTTCATTTACTTGAAAGGGGAGAAAGAAGATCGACACGCACACAAAAAACCTAAAATTTATAAACTAAAGAAAATCCATTTTTAAAAAAAAAAACATTAAAATTAAAAAAAAATTATGTAAAACAAAAATAACATCATTTTCTTTTTTTATCACATTCAATAAAAAAATATCTAAGCTACATCATTAGGGAAAACAACAATTACCAACCTATTAAAATCCGTTTACTAATATCGAAATTTTATGGTAGTTATTAAAAAAGAAACAACTTTATCTGCGCATTTATACATACAAAATATTGTATAGAAAGAGTCCACAAGTTTTATACGGCCGTTTTGGGTGACATTTTTTTGGAATTTTTATTATAATTCTATTTTTTTTTAAATATTAATTTAATATTAATTTAATTACGAACTTTTTTATAAAAAGAAAATAAAACATCTTTAAAAAAAATTATAAGTACATAAATCACCTTAAAACTTGTGGATTTTATTCGGCAAAATATTTCAGCACTGAAAAATATGTACTATCTTAAACAAATGTTTTTATTTTTACTCATACATTAAGTGAGCTATTGAAAAAGCATTTTGAAGAGCATAAGAAAAATGGTTTTTGATTAATTCATAATAATTTATTTTGTTGCTACAATTTGTTTTCACAATATGTTGCTTTCTGTATGAGTACCATACACTTTGAAATATCCGCTGAGACATTATAATTTTAAAAAGAAAAATTAACATCATTTTATTTACTATTATTTCAAATACTATTACTAAATAAATAACAAAACCGAATTAGAAAATATTTGAAATTTAAAAAAATTTAAAGAAGTTCAGAAAAAACAAAAAGTTATTTCACCTATAATATGTGCAAGTTAAAAAAAATAAAATAAAAAAGGTAACTTTTTATTAAATACAAAAGTTATCACAAAAAAATATAAAATTAAAAAAAATTTTTTTTTTTTATTTTTTTTGTAAATCTATGAAAATATTCGATATTTTCGTTAATAAATATTCTTTGATTTTTAACATAGAAAACCAAAAATATATTTTATTTTGTGTTTTTTTTTCTTAATTAATTCGTAAAATTATGAATCGTTTTTATATAATTTTGCATTACTTTTTAAATAAATTTATGCATATATATATAAAATTTTAAAGTATATGCATACAAACATTTATTTTTAATCAAATTGTTTAATTACTATATTTAATATATATATTTAAAGAAAAAGGAAAACAATATAAACAAAAATAAAACATCATATAAAAATTTATCAGACGAAATCAACAAGAACTTAGCTTGTAATTAAATATAAAATAAAATTAATAATATTAATTTTAAAACAATATAAATTTAATGGAATTTATACACACATATTTTATAATTTAATTTAATAGTTTTACTATTTATAAATGATATTATATAAATAAAAATTAAATTTAGTATGAGATTTCTCAGCATAACCCAGGTATTTGCATTGATTTATATATACATATATGCATACAAATATATAGATATTTATATATATGAATATATATATATATATATATATATACATATATATATATATATATATATATATATATATATATATATATATATATACATATATATATATATATATATATATATATATATATATATATATATATATATATATATATATATATATATATATATATGTATATATATCTATATTTATATATAAATATATAAAATATATATATATACATATATATTTAATTTGAAACAAAAAGAAAAGAAAGACCAAAATATTAAGGTGCTCATAAAATATCATATTCTCTTGTAAATACTTTTATAATATTGTTTATTTGTTCATTTTCATATATATATTATATATATATACATATATATATATATATATTATATGTATTATAATATATATATACATAATACATATACATATATATGTGTAATATATATATATATATTATAACATATATATATATATATATATATGTAATAAATACTAACTTTATCCTTTTTTTCAAAAATAATTCTACTTTTTTTTAATTTTATAACTTAAAAAGTTTTTTTTCTTTTTTTTGTTTGCTTTTGTGGCCTTTAATTTAAGAGCTTTTTTTTTAATATAACTGAGTTCGTAATCGATGTAAAATTGCATACCTGCAATGCAGAGAGTTTCCGTATTGCCTTTTAGAAAATTGTACAAACATTTTACGGTACATCAAGTTTTTTCTACTTAGCTATAGCGCATAGGAAATGTGCAGATAGAGCAGATTTTTGCTTTTATTTTTTTCTCGTCAAAATCTAATGTATTTTAGTAATATTTCTTGTCCTGTAAATAATTTTTAAAAATCCATATGTATCCAAGAAAAATATTTGTACATTGCGGTTGGTTAAATTGAAGTTACTGCAATTTCGAACTCAGTCTATATTTAATTACTTTATATGTTATTAATAGTACAGGTTATTCAGTTAAATTTAATATCATAGGAATTCGATACATTAAGGTTTTATTAAAGTGAGGGATAATGTAAACAAATAATAATTTTGTCAAGAGACAAATAAATAATAAGGACATTTTTGTTATAACTCACAGGTCGCTTTTGTGGGCAGGTATTATACACACAAATGCGGTTAAACGCAATCAGTTGTGGTGTAAGGATATTATTCAAAAATTTAATAATTTTCTGAAATTGAGAGATTAATATTTAATTAGTTTACTTTCAATTCAAGTTCTTTCATTTATGGCTTTAGTCTTTAATCTAACAAAATTTACAATTTATAAGTCTGTATTTTTTTTAAACATCAATCTTACCTTCATTTGTTATAGTAATATAATAATCTCTAGATTGTAAAATTAGTTTAACGTAACCTAAAGTAACAATGAAATATTAAACGAAATTGGTATTGTATAAACCAATATTTTTTATAATTTCAATTTAAAATAAATTTAAAGTTTTAACATTAGTGCTTTTTATAGTTACTATAAATAATTATAGAGGATACTTCACTTTTGTTACTAAGCTTTATTGCTTTATTATTTTGTATACATTTATTTATTGATTAATTTCTCTTATTCAACAGAACTGAAAGTAATCTTTTTTCATTTCCATATTCTATTTACATTAGAATGGAAAAAATTTTATTGAAAATTTTCTGTATTGTGTATTTGAAAATTTATGTAATATAATAAAAATTGAAATTCTAAAAATATATCTAGGTATAGGTTTCACTGTGCTTAAATACAATAGAAAAGCATATAAGAAGTACTAAAGTAATTGAACTTGCAGCACAGAAATTTAATTGAAGCATGTACATTTTTATTTTAATGTTTAATTAAAACACTCATTCTAATTTTTCTTTCAAAACTATAAGATAAATTTTTTTTTTGTGTTCGATTTTTATTTTAAATTTAAAATTTGGCATAATAAAACTAGAAAAACAATATGTTACATTACTAATCTTTTTCCATAATGAGTACAGATTATATAAATATATTATATATATTTATGTAATATTAATCATTATAAATATGTGTGCCTATCTTTTATGCTATTTCAATTAGTTATTTTGATACAAATAATTTAGATATACAATTTTTTAAATAATACTTAAAAATTTAATTTAAGAAAAATTTTTGCATCAAGTATAATACGAGTATAAAGTATTGATTTAAAAAGTAAAAAACAAAAATTAATAATCGGTTTTCAAAGGTAAATTTTTTTAAACAAATTCAAAAGTTATTGCAGACAAATCTAAAATTTCCCCTCGAATTTTATTGTTTTAAAATTAGACTGACCTTAGATATTTGAGTTATAAATAGTTATATATTATTATTTTAATAAAAAATTTTTGTACTATAATTAACCCCGAAATATTTTAAATTAAAACGTATAAGTAGTAAAAAAACCAGACCTACTGTACCTAAAAAAGGTACTAGTTATAGTGAGAATAGTTATTAAGCCTTTCCATTGTTTTTTTTCGTTATTTTTTCCTTTAATTTTTGTGTCATTATATACTGCATATATATATATGTATATATACAAATTTTTTGCTTATATTGGTAGAAAAGCCTCCTATTTTAGATATGCGCGCAATTTTATAGCTCAACTTATATTTCTGTGACTGCAATAAAAAGTAGCTGAAGTCAAAAATTAATATAATAATTTGAAATTTGTTTTAAGTTTTCAAACATTTTTATTTTGAAAATTTTAGCTTTTAATGCTATTTTGATTATGAGTATAACCACAATTAAAAACAAAAATTATTTAATGATAGTAAAATGTCAATTTACGCTACTCTTTATTGTGGTCACAAATTTATTTATAATGATAATTTATTTAATTTGTACATTTTAATTAACTTTTATTCTTTATTACTGTATTTATTTTCCTTGAAAATGAAAGCAAAGAAAATTATTGAAATTTCTGCTAAGAAAAATTATAATAGCAAATTAAATTTAAATTATTGAAAGAGGAAAGTTTTTCAAATTTTTTTTATATACAATAACAATGATATGTAAATACCTGGGCTTGAAAGCCCATTAATATATAAGCAAAATTATATATTAAATATTTGGATTTTTTTAAATTATTTGTAAAATTTTAAAAATGTAATACTTAATATTTTCATATAGATTTGTTTGCAACAATTTAATTTTAATCGAATTTAAATTTAATATTTTTTTTTTGTAAAGACATTAATTTGAAGACACGGTCTTATAAGCGAAATGAAATACCCAAATTCCATTTATTTTGATAATATCAATTTTTAATAGTTTATTTTAAAGAAAAAATAACTAACGGAAATTAAAAAAGAATCGAATTTTAATTGTCATCAATTACCTGAATACTATAAGAATTATTAACGAAAATTTTTTTTGGTTAATTTACTTTTACTAACTTTAAAACATAGAAAAGATGAAACATAAAAACATTTTTTTTTAACTTGTTCAAATTATCATAAAGACTTGAAAACCTAATAAAAGTTTTTAGCATGCGGAGTATGAATAGCAATTAAAAATACTGAAAGAAGCCGTTGTACTTTCAAGAATATTAAGCGTTAAAGATAGTAATAGGTTCGGATTATTAATATTAAAACTCAACATTATTGGCATTCAAAAAAAAAGTATAAAAATGTTTAAAGAAATTCCTAAATGGACAATAGTTTAAAAACATTATCTGATAAGAAAATTTTCTAATTCAGTTCTCTTTTATATAAAGATTACTTCCAGTTCATGAATATGGTTATTAATTGTAGCTTTAGTATTCATGTTCATCAAAAAAAGGATTAATTTTTATACCGCAAAATCAAATTAGTTTTCAATAATAATCAAATAATTTTATTACCGAAATTTTTTTGATCTCTGGAGCTATACCAATAAAAATTTATCTAACACATTGTCAATTGGAAATGAATTTGAATAGAATGTCTAGCTTGATCTTATGAAGATACACATATGTATGTATATGCAAATAAATTATATTTTCTTTTTTTCAGGTACAAATTAAAGTATGTTACATATATCTATATTATACATTGATTTTTTAATACATACGTATATTAAAGAACAATTTTAATAAAATAAAATTTTAAAATGGGTAAAGAATTTTATTTGTTTATTTTTATTTAAAATTTTTAAAAGAAATTTGTGATGGTAAGTATTTAAAATGGATCCAATGAACCTTCCAAAATAATAGTCAAAAACCCTTTAGAAAATGTTTAAATTTAAATTTTTTATAACCTTTTATAAAATGCCTTATTTTACTAAAAACTTACTATATTAAAATTAGCTGTTATGCTATTAATTTTTAAATGAATAGTTAAAAAAATTGCAATTTTAAGGTTTTAGGGGGGTTTAGCTTTTAGGGGATATAGGTAAAAATTTTCTTCTACGGAAGTAAGTTTCTAGTACAGATATATATACGTATAAAATTTCAGCTTTCTACCCTCAAGGATGTAGAAGTTTTGTAAACATGTCCACGGACGGGCGGACGGACAAAGTGAAACTAATAAGCACTTTTTTTCAAAAATTATTTGGAAAAGTGCTAAAAACAATAATGTTTTCGTATAATTTTATTTGTATAATTTTATTAATCTCTAAATGCATTTAGAGAAACAAAAAATTTATTATTTGAGTGTTTGTCGTCCGTATGTATGTGCACACATATATTAGATTCTTTTATAAAATGTATTCTATAGTCTTCAAGTCTTTTACTTCGCCAAATTATAATTAATTTATTGCTAAATAATACATACATATGTATGTAAGTATATGTGCATATATGTATATGTTATAATTTGTATATAGACATAATGCATATATATATATTGAATCTAAAATATGCATATAAGTAATAAATTTATGAAATGACAAACACATTTTTTATATTTCTCCCTTACATATGCAAAAAAAATTTAAAATAAAATTAAAATTATCTTTAAAAACAATTCACAATAAATTATTTTTGTTATTTTATTACGTATAAACATAAGCTGCTATATTTCTTCGAAATTTTAAAACTAACTAAATAATTTCAATATTACAATATTATTAATATTTCACTTATATATATTGCTAGACATACAATTCATGTTTGAAATTATGGCCGATCCACAAACTGGTTTAGATGCCGTCGATCTTGGTGATGGTTTACGAGTTTTGAATTTAAATCCAACAATGGAAATGGTTAAAAAACTTGGTGGAACCGAAAGAAGAAATGAAAAAAAAATTACCTATGAAGAATTTATTCCAATTTATGCTGAACTTAAAAAAGAAAAAGAACAAGGTTGTTATGAGGATTTTCTTGAATGTCTCAAATTATACGATAAAAATGAGAATGGCTTAATGCTATTATCTGAATTGAATTATGCTATCAGGAACTTGGGTAAGTAACAATTTATTTAAATAACATTTATTATTAATGTTGTCAATTTGTGGAAATAATTTATTTTGAGTTTTCTTTATTTAAATTAATTAAAGGTGAACCTTTAGATGATTATCAAGGCGATGAATTGATGGAAGATTGTGTAGGTCCGGATGAAGAAGATGATGATGGTTTTATTCCATATCATAGTAAGTTTTTAATAAAAAAATACAATTTATATATAAACAAATTGGTTTGATAATATTTTAATTCATTACAGAATTCCTTGCAAGAATGTGTTGCAGAGATGATATTCTTAATGCCTAAATTATATTATTCTGTGTTTTTAATTATTTTATATTAGATTTTTTTTAGATAACTAGTAATTAATATGTGTTACCTAATATATAATATCAGAAACTAATTTAATTAAATTTTGTATGTTTTTAACGCGTTAAAAACAAAAAATTTAATAATATTATATATTTATTTAGTTTATGTGAAAAAAAAACTAGTTACAGAAAATTTTTTTGGGTCGATGAACACAATTTATAATAATTTGGTATTAAGAACACTTGACACCTTTTTGAGCTGTATATACGATATTAGAATATGTTAGCGTTAAAAGTTTTTGTTAAATTTTATTCACTTTTCAAATAATGAATGAATTTTTTTTTATTACTATCATGTTCTATCATACTTTCAAAATATTGTTAATTATAATATTCAAAATATTATACTAATTTATATTCACATATTATCCACGTGTAGACATATTGAGTTGCTCAAAATATAACAATTTTTTTCGCGTTATTATTGTATATCACTTTTGTTAAAACAATGTTAATAAATTCTCATACATACTTTTATAAATAAATAAAGCAATTATAAAATAACTATTTTGAGTTTATGTAATATTTGTTTTTTTGCCGCATTTCCAAAAAGTCTTAGATAAACTGTGTTTGTTAGTTCAAGTCCACCTGTATTCTGTGCGTCTGTCCGTCTATTTACATAAGTTCTATATCTTTCAAGTTATATGCGAATTAAATTTTATTTATATGCATATGTACTTAAATATTAGTGAAGGAATTTATTTTCTAGAAAATTTCATGTCTTGGAGGATATATGAGAAATTTTAATAATAACTGAAACTTTTTCCTCCAGGAGAAATTACCGTCGAAATTTGCTCGATGTCAATTTTCTGCTCTTCCTCTGAAACCCTTTATTATAACCTATGTATCTCTAAAATGAAAATGTAACAACAGTCGCCCTCTTATCTAAAAGTATCTCCTTATGTTCAAAAGAAAATAATTATCTATATAATTCAAGTTTTATTTATCAGTATAAATATATCTCTAAAATGAAAATGTAACAACAGCCGCCCTCTTATCCAAAAGTATCTCCTTATGTTCAAAAGAAAATAATTATCTATATAATTCAAGTTTTATTTATCACTATAAATTTTTTGAAATCGACTCCAAGAAATCTAAGACTTCTTCTAAGTAACTTTTTTTATATTTCTAAATTCTCTACGCCACTTTCTTCAGCATATATATATGCTGTTCAGCAAATCGATTATTCAGCAAATATTATATAAAACATAAATAAGGGAAAAGAATTGTAAAAATATATTCTAAACTTTCCAAAAAATTATCCATACAATTTTTGAAAAAAAAGCCAAAAAAAGCATTTAATGAAAAATTGCAGTCGGAACGAAATTTAAAAACAAAAAAAAAATTGGTAAAGAGAACTTTTTTTGAAATTTTTTTTTTAAATTTTGGAAAATGTAGATATTTAGTTTTTAATAAAAATTTGACTCATTTTTACTACCCTATATTTTAGAAAGCACTCATTATTGAATCAACCTGTATATCAGAGGAACCCGCCAAGACAAAACATCATTACTTTTTCACTAAATATAATAACATTCAATTAGCATAGTTGTTATGTCAATATAGGGAACATTTTTATAAATAAAAATAATAAAAGAGAAATTTATTAGATCTATGCTTACTAAATAGTAATGTGCGATCTCCTGCCCTTCGTCGCCAGGTACTAGTTCAAAATGATTATCCTTAACAGAGAATGTCGGTGTATAGCTGAATTCAAATTTTCAGAATACCTACTTAAATGTACCTTACGCACGTTCGCATGGGAACATATTTTGACTAAGGTACAGTTTGCAAGGTTAGGGCTTGTAGAGTTAAAGCATGCTGAGTTAAATGCTTGGTTCTACATAAATCTTATACAGTTTTGACAATGCGAGTCATATGGTCTCATCTTGGCAACATGTTACATGAAAATGTTTTGGGTAGGTAACGTATTAATGGAAAAGATTATTATACGCATACGAACGTATGTTTGAAAGGTATTATATAAAGTTTCAAATAAGGTTTACCAGATTTCCACAAATTTTTGAAACCTATTTGAACTGGATTTGATCGCAATAGAAACAATCTGCCGTAAATATTAACCTTAATTTAATTATAATTGACAATAAGTATGCAAGGTATGTATGCTGAAGGTGTTATAAAATAACAAAATCGGATTTCCACTACAGAATCGACTTTGAACTGACAATATAAACTCAACCTATGTTCTATCATGTTTCTGATACAAAAGCATTATGTTTTACTTTTATAAAATAGATGTCACTCAGGTATATTTGTGTATATTATTATTCATTTTAAAAATGCTCAGTTTTCCTATTTTAGTACAACATTAAATACAAAAGCTTTCTAATAAGAAATTGTAAAGCTTATTGATGTCATCAAATACAATACAAAGTAAGTTTCTATCTTATGTATACAATTTGTATTTGTATAATATAAATAAAATCTTATTATATATACATATAACTTTTAAGTTTTATTATTTTTCTTATAATTTTTGATATCTCAGTTGTCCGTGGAATGTCCGAGTGATAAATTGATGTTAGTACAGGCGCAGATTTAATTACGGGGACAGAATTGAAGTTTAAAAAGAAAAAATTTAAAATTTATTTTATTTTATATAAATAAAAAGTTTTTAAAAACGAAATAACCCAAATTAATGTCTTGGATGATGGTTTAAATTGTTATAGTAAATACAATTATATTTAATATTTGGTCTTTAGGAAAAAAAATCTCAAGAGTACATACACATGTATGTAATCATCTTAAATTATTGTTTAGTAGGTATAGCTGTATTATGTTCATACACTGACATATACACTTAAACTTATACCCAAATATCAGCTTTTGTAGGGTTATTTATGATTAAAAATCATTATATGCCTAAGAGTATATATTATAGAGTATACATATGCATATGTCGATATATCTACCGTTTATTATCATAACCGTCAAAATAAAATTGAATACATATTTTATTTAAAAGAAAGTGTGTGTTTACAGTGACAAAAATAAAAAAAATAAAAGTGAAATAAATTTATTTTAAAATTAACAATTGTTTTGTTTTTTTGTTATTTTTTTCAATTTTATGACAAGAAAATATTATATTCTTTTTTCTATTTTAAATATAGTTTTTTTTTTGTGAAAACAGAAGTGGAACACAAAGACAAATTGTATTTGTGTTTAAATTTTAAAAGCAGATAGAAATAGAGAAAAAATAGATAAAAAAAAAAGCAGCTTTTTGTATCTTTTAAAGGAAGGATAATAACAATTACCGTTTCATATACAAATTTATTTTAATATATAATATACGTATATTATTACAAAACTTGAACTCAAAATGGCGGAAGTATTGAGTAATCCCAATTCAGATGTAACTGCTGCAACTGTAGTACAAGGAAATGTTGATGAAACTTCCGAAGTTCATAATAATCATCAACAACAAAAAGGTAAAAAAATAAAGTTATTATGTAATATATTTTGAAATATACACAAAGCAAGAAGAAAAAAATGTCACGAAAATGGATGAATATGCTTACATTAAACTTATACATTTATATAAGTCCTTTTGTGTACATATATAGATATAAGCACATTTAAGCAGTAAATACTTAAACTATTTTTTCATACGTAGTATGAAAAACTACTTTGTATTTATGAAATTAAAAAAATATTTTTCTTTGTATTTTTTTATCTGCATCCAAAAGAGTTCCTCTCTATCCTTCATACGCCCCAGTTTTTATTCAAATTTCCAATTTGGCTTCCTTCTTTTACCAAATTTTTTTTTGTAACCTCAAAAACAAGCCGTAGCTTTTGAAGTTACAAAAAACAATATAGTAACTCTATGTTGTTGAATTAGGTAAATTAAAACGACGGTAATTTAAGCAGTGATTAAAAACTATAGTTCTCTAAAGTTTTTTTAGTTTAACTATATTCGTGACTTCAATAATGCGCTCACGACGTAAATTTTACAAAGTATCAAGTTCCAAGAAGTTTAATAAAAGCTCCTGACATTGTACACTTTTCCTAAATATGTTTTATACGTAGTGGAGACGTAAAATAAAAGTAAATCGGGTATCGAAAAAATCAAACATGCTTTTCTTGTACCTTGTCATATAAATGTTGCCAGACATAACCGATAAAATAAACTAGCATATATTTTCAGAAATAAAGTTCTAGTTATCAATTTTTTTTCTTAAAATGCAATGTTTTTAATGATGTGGTAACGTTTTATAAAAATTAACATTTGAACAGAACTTTAAATTGAAATTTTCAAATAAACGTCAAAGATGTATTGATATGGTAAAAATTGTATTCCAAAATGTACGCAAAGCTTTAGCAGTTTTTTTTACAATGTAAAAGTATTAAAAGCTCTGAGACGGTACTACAACCGTATTAATACCGTACTTAAATCTTTTTTAAAGCATTATTGAGTCACGGTATGTTTTTGCTAACGCAAAATAATATTAATACATGCTGTAGCATATACTTAGAATCAATTCCATAAATCATCACAAATTATGTGTTTATTAGTGAGGGACCTTTCATAAAAATTTTTACACAGCTAAATTAAATAATGTATCTTACAAAAAAAAAATTTATCATAAAATTTCCTATGAATAAATTTTCTTTTTAAGAAAACAACAAGAACTCCTCCTGGCGAGTTATAAAAGAATACTGATAATAGTTAACTCAACAGTACGAAATGAAATAATAACTCCATATTTTAAAGCTAAATTGTAAGTTGAATTGTAAAATTCACATAATTTTAAGTTTGAAAAAAATAAAAAATGTATTTACTTGTATGTTAATAGGGCTTTTCATTTTAGATGAATTTCTTTCTCAAGTGAATTTTAAAACTAAAAATATGACAAAATTATTAAAACGGATACCTTAAAACCAAAAAAAAAATCTGATGTGGTCAGCACTTAAGGTACCGCAATGTGTATTGTCTAGTTTGGTAAAAGTGTTACAAAATATTATAAAAATGCCTCTTAAATGGTTCTTTCCAATTACCTAGAAAAATGTAAATTTGGCTCTCAATAAAGTTTCGCTTTATGCCATCCGAGTTCCCTGAAATGCTCGCAAGTTAGTTCCGGTAGCAACCAGGACTCAAATATGACATTTAAAGAAATTCTATCAATTTGTTCCATAGATATGATAAAAAATCTAAATTTAGCACTTAGTTCGGTTGCCAAGCCCTGATCGTCCAAAAAAAATTTATATGTTCATTATATTGACATCCCAAATTTAAGGCCTCATACATCTCGAAAATTCCCAAGGCCTCATATATCCCAAAAGTTGATCAATCCGTTACATAGCCAAAACAAACTTATAAAATTTCATGAAAATCGGTTCAGCTGAACTTGAGATACACGCGTACACACACAGCTAGACAGACCGACAAACCGCCAGGTTGTAAAAATAGAGTCAAATAGTTAAAGCTTAAATTTAGTTCTTAGACTCAAAATTAGGTTTACAGCTTCCTCCAAGTTGGTTAGTTGTTGAATCTTTTTATTTTTGTACTATAAGATACAAGTTACCAATAAAAAATTTGGGATGTAAATTTTTTAAAATTTGAAGTAAAATTAACTACTTACTTTGATTGTTTTCCATTTCCTTTATATAGTTAAAATAAAAACAACTCAATTAATTTTAATTTTGGAATACATATTGTAAGAGATTACTCCACAACACAGCACATTAAAAAATTTCTATTTATCTATTCCGTTGAAACATTTTGTTATTTGTTGTCTTCTTTGGCGAAATCGCCAAACTTTAAAGCTTGAATACCTATATTGAAAATGTTATATTAAACAAGTAAAAACGTTTCAGTCGGTATGAACCGATTGAATTATACCCTGCACCTTTCATTGTTGTATAGCAATTACTCAAACCTGTGAAACCATTCTATAGAAACTTCACGGATATGTCTGATCTATAACTGAACACACAAGTTTCGTGAATCTGACTTTATTATTTTTCCAAATATTTAAAATTAGTTTTTGGAGTTGTATGGCAGGTACCCGAACCTGCCAAGCAACTCCACTAAAAATTCAGAAATATATCTGATCTATAATTGGACACACAACTGCCAAGTTTCAAGAGTTTGACTTTATTATTTTTCCAAATATTTAAAATTAGCTTTTGGAGTTGTATGGCAGGTACCCGAACCTGCCAAGCAATTCCACCAAAACTTCGCTAATATATCTGATCTATAATTGGACACACAACTGCCAAGTTTCATGAATCTAACTTTATTATTTTTCCAAATATTTAAAATAAGCTTTTGGACTTGTATGGGAGCCACTCGAACCTGTCAAGCAATTCCACCAAAACTACAGAAATATCTTTGACCTATAATTGGACACACAACTGCCAAGTTTGATGAATCTGACTTTATTATTTTTCCAAATATTTAAAATAAGCTTTTGGACTTGTATGGGAGCTGCTCGAACCTGTCAAGCAATTCCACCAAAACTTCAGAAATATCTTTGACCTATAATTGGACACACAACTGCCAAGTTTCATGAATCTGTCTTTATTATTTTTCCAAATATTTAAAATTAGCTTTTGGACTTGTATGGGAGCTACTCGAACCTGCCAAGCAATTCCACTAAAAATTCAGAAATATATCTGATCTATAATTGGACACACAACTGCCAAGTTTCAAGAGTTTGACTTTATTATTTTTCCAAATATTTAAAATTAGCTTTTGGAGTTGTATGGCAGGTACCCGAACCTGCCAAGCAATTCCACCAAAACTTCGCTAATATATCTGATCTATAATTGGACACACAACTGCCAAGTTTCATGAATCTAACTTTATTATTTTTCCAAATATTTAAAATAAGCTTTTGGACTTGTATGGGAGCCACTCGAACCTGTCAAGCAATTCCACCAAAACTACAGAAATATCTTTGACCTATAATTGGACACACAACTGCCAAGTTTGATGAATCTGACTTTATTATTTTTCCAAATATTTAAAATAAGCTTTTGGACTTGTATGGGAGCTGCTCGAACCTGTCAAGCAATTCCACCAAAACTTCAGAAATATCTTTGACCTATAATTGGACACACGACTGCCAAGTTTCATGAATCTGACTTTATTATTTTCCCGAATATAAAAAATTTACTTTTGGAGTTGTATGGCAGCCACCCGAACCGGTGCAGCTATCTCATTAAAATTTTTAGAGCATAAGTAGAATATAATTGGACACATGTATACAAAATTCTATATTTGTACCTTTATTAGTTTTTGAAATAATTAAAATAAACTCTTTGAGTTGTATGGCAGCTACCCGAACCCGTTGTCCGAATTGGTCCAATAACAATAGGGTTCGCCCTTGGCACAAAAGAAACAACTTGTGAAAGTTTGGTGTCGATTGCATTATTCGTTTTTGAGTTATCGTGCGATCGGACGGACGGACGGACGGACGGACAGACGGACATGTCTAAATCGACGCAGAATTTTACGCTGAGCAAGAATATATATATATGTCCATACCGCAGATGACTCCTTCAAGTAGTTACAAACTCCATACCAAAGTTAATATACCCTTCACGAAGTGCAGGGTATAAAAATATTAATAAATGATTAGGTATCATGTAGAAATAAATTATTCTCGGACTTGTTTTTTTTCAAAAGATCGGATTCAAATAACGTAGTCATGCTATCTCAAAAGTTTTTAAAAATATTTAAATACATACATTTATTTTTATCTCTTTGATGATAAGATAAAATAATAATATAGAAAAATACTTTTTATGTAGATAATGTAAAATTTTAAACTTAATCATTTCGAACTACTCGTAATAGAATGAAGTACATACATATTTCATAAAAAATAATTTTAATTTTGCGAGATATCTTGCTAGCATTTTTTGACTCGCTTTTCAACTTGCAATTAAAAAGAAGGTAGCTATTAAAAACATTTTTATGTTTTTGTGTTAATAAAAGAAAACGAAAATAAAAATAAGTAAAACAAGTAAAAACGTTTCAGTCGGTATAAACCGATTGAATAATACCCTGCACCTTTCGTTATTGTGTAGCAATTACTCGAACCTGTGAAGTCATTCTGTAGAAACTTCACGGATATGTCTGACCTATAATTGGACATCCGACTGCCAAGTTTCATGAATCTGACTTTATAATTTTTCCAAATATTTAAAATTAGCTTTTGGAGTTGTATGGCAAGTACCTGAACCTGTCAAACAATTCCATCAAAACTTCACAAATATATCTGATTTATAATCGGACACACAACTGCCAAGTTTCATGGATCTGACTTTATTATTTTTCCAAATATTAAGAATAAGCTTTAAGACTTGTATGGGAGCTACTCGAACCTGTCAAGCAATCCCATTAAAACTTTAGAAATATGTCTGACCTATAATTGGACACACAACTGCCAAGTTTCATCAATCTGACTTTATTATTTTTCCA